CTTCCCATCATTCAGAAGAAACAAAGAAAACCATGCAGATCTATCCATAAGATCGTTAGCGGCAAAACCATAACTGAACCAGAGATAGAAATTCAAGTTAAACTATGTTAAAAGTTCAACTTCTAAACAGCCAGTACCAACCAAGAAACGACCAGCAAAGTCACATACATCAGCTAAACCATCTTAAAAGAAACCTAAATTAGTAAAAGTACCACCGACCAGCAGCGGGACCATCCGGTGCGATTAATCTATTATACAGCAGTGACAGTGAGGATTCGCCAATATCTGATGGCGAAACATGTTGTGTGTGTCATCACTTTCAGCCGGCTGAAATGGCCCAATGCACATCAGTTTTTCATACAGTGGGGGCAGTGCATGTATCATGACAGTAAACACTGGGTGCACTTACAGTATTGTGCGCGTGCTTCAGACCCATGACACATTTTATTGCCCTTGCCATGGTCTGCCATGCAAACCATCGGACGAATAGGGACTGCAAGAGGACACAAACTTACCTATGAATAGTGTACATAACTTTATTGACACGATTCGTTTTGGAGTTGTGTGTTGAATAACTATGCTTTTCAACTGTTATCAGTCAACACAGAAATGCTGGTAGTTATAAATTTGAATTCATGAAAAAATATTACACAGTAACGGTACTTGGCTTTCGTACATAGTGATACAATAATCTACTACGTAATCCACGAATCAAGGTGACGTCATATTTTTTGTGCACATGAATGGCTGATGGGACTCCTACAATTATAGGTTGTGATTCACCTGAACCCCTAAATCCCTACATGACTAATGCTATCTTTACAATGTCTACATCACATATTAACATGCCACCTATTTCAACATGTTCAGTAGCAGTGCACCATCTTAAAAAGAACACGACTGAACACACATGATAAATAGAAAGTGATAGTTGTGTTATGATTTGAACAATGCCAAGAGCACCAAAAGCATCTGTGGCTCATCGGTGTTTATCTGTGATATTTGCAAGATAATGTTATATTGTATGTACTGCAACTAGTAGTTCCATGACTACTACTTCTAGCATCAGAAATTAGGGATGAAAGGCGTCCTTGTCATGATTCTAAATAATGGCAAAACGAAAAGATTTAGGTGCCTCATTGGTTATTAACTAACTTCATTAAGACACACAAAAACTAAAAAACTTCCAGTTCTCACTATTTTTTTCTAACTAGACTATAAAATATGTAATTTTACATTAATAACTATCATATTTATAACACTCATTGCCCGCTTTCATGTTACATAATAAATAAAAACAAGTATTTGTCACAGAGTGACGAAATATCCCCCGCCTGTACACCATAGTACCAAATATGAAGACAATCCAGCGATTAGTTCTTGAGATATTGTGGCAACACCGTTTTCCAACTCCAAAAACAGATTTGCCTGCTGTGACCTTGAAAATGGGGTCAAGGTCACCAAATCTGACAGGTGTATGCGGTGTCTGTATATACAATATAGTTCCAAATATGAAGACAATCCAGCGATTAGTTCTTGAGATATCGCGGCAACACCGTTTTCTAACTCCAAAAGCAGATTTGCCTGCTGTGACCTTGACAATGGGGTCAAGGTCACCAAAACCGACTGGTGTCTGCGGTGTCTGTATATACACCATAGTTCCAAATATGAAGACAATCCAGTGTTAAGTTCTTGAGATATCGCGGCAACACCGTTTTCCAACTCCAAAAGCAGATTTGCCTGCTGTGACCTTGAAAATGGGATCAAGGTCACCAAAACCGACTGGTGTCTGCGGAGTCTGTATATACACGATAGTTCCAAATATGAAGACAATCCAGTGTTTAGTTCTTGAGATATCGCGGCAACACCGTTTTCCAACTCTAGAAGCAGATTTGTCTGCTGTGACCTTGAAAATGGGATCAAGGTCACCAAAACCGACTGGTGTCTGCGGAGTCTGTATATACACCATAGTTCCAAATATGAAGACAATCCAGTGTTTAGTTCTTGAGATATCGCGGCAACACCGTTTTCCAACTCCAAAAGCAGATATGCCTGCTGTGACCTTGAAAATGGGATCAAGGTCACCAAAACCGACTGGTGTCTGCGGAGTCTGTATATACACCATAGTTCCAAATATGAAGACAATCCAGTGTTTAGCTCTTGAGATATCGCGGCAACAAACAGGTGGGACGTACGGACGGACGTACGGACGGTCGTGAATACTATATCCCCCGCTTCGCGCGGCGGGGGATAATAAAAATATTAAGAGGCTGTTTGTCTGAAGAGGTACATTGTCGCCAGTGCTCCACTTTGATAACTACTTTCTGTAAGTTCAACATTCCAGTGAGAAGGGAGGTTACAATTACCTAACACCCCTTATGCAGCTCTAAAAATTTTGAATCAACAAATATTTAAACAGCTGCAAAAGATCATGTTAACCCATGCAGTAAATATACAGGGTTATAGTCAATTCATACACACTCATGGAAGTACATCTAAACTACACAACAATCTGCAATCTGCAAGTACATTTATTTCTTGGTCCATAATGTCAATACAGAGGCAAAATTATCAATTGGTTTATTCATACACAAATATATTTCAAGGCAAATCAACATGTCATAACACTGGTAGTAATGAGTTGATTATGAACATTATTGGCCAATTATCCATTTCTTGAATACTAGTATTTTATCAATACTTCAAAAGTTTGATCTCAATATGTTAAATACATAATAATTCAATTTCTGGTAATTGTTTATTATATAGTGATGTACAGCAGAAGAGGGGAGGGAAAGTTTCAAGTGTGATGTTTATTTTCACCCTAACATACATAGTCTACACAAATGTCTTGACCAATGTAGACAGAAGTTTTGTTGTGTACACATACTGACCAATCTTGAAAGTCCATTGACATAATAATAATCCAAAATGACTAACAATATTCAGTTATCGATAATCATGTTTTTGTGAACGGAACAAGTATTTCTTTCGGCTATTCCAGTACAAACATAAATACATGACATTTAACTTGTAGTTTATTTATTGAAGACTTTTGCATCATTGCTGTTAAGGAAACAATTACATACCTATTGATGAGTGCCCAGTGAGATATTGAATGTATTACTAATAAATAAGTACTATACAATTACAAACATTAACTCAATTGAAAAGAAAGACCATGATAACAATTTCAAGAAAAAAGTTTTGTTATCTTAATGGGTGTTGTTACCATGGATACAAGTGTCTTTAATAGGTGGCTAATCAGGAATTTACCTTGGACTATATACTAGCGTCTGTGGAATACATCAATATTTTGCATCCTGTTATACCCTTGGCTAATGATAATCAAATTTAGAGCTTTCGTGTGAAATAATTGTTGAGAGTTTGCTTTGTGGATAATAGGGCTGGGACGAGTCCAAATTTACTACCCGGGTACCCGCCCCCCTTTTACCCGAACCTACCTGGGTACCCACTCTAGGTCCCAGGAGATGTCTCAAAATGTCCGATTGGGAATATTTTTAGCATAGCCCTGGCAAAACGTATTTGGATACATGTGTCAAACAATCTGGTCATGCATACACTGAAGTTGACTTAAGTTATATCTTTATTCAACCACATGAAAAATCAGAAGGAATGGGTGCAGTGTCAGAACGAAAAGCGAACATTAGTGACTTGTAGTGTCACCATAGATTTCCAGATAATTTAAGTCATTAAACAATATATCACGTGACTAACCACGTCCGGGTAGTCCAGTGGGTACCCGGGTCCTACTCTGTACCCACCCGAGCCGGGTACCCGAGTTACCCGTCCCAGCCCTAGTGGATAGGCTGTTGTTTTAGCATGTTGAGTGGACAAGTTGATTATTTTTGTAGTCTGGCTTTTATTAAGACAAAATTTTGCAAATGGGACAGCCAGATTCTGTTTACGGGAATGCCAATTCTGGGGGGAATGGATCTGTGTGTGAAATAGTTGACTACGAACCAGCATACATTTGTAGTTTACTCCTCTAAAAAACTGATCTGATAATCACACGCGTGTAGATATAATATATGCGGGGCTGGTTGAAAAGATTGATAATCGGAATTATCGTTGATGGGAACAAAGATTAACAATTATCGATAAGAAACTGTTGTCATCAACAATAACTCATATAAAGTATTGAGATGAAATAATGTTTTGATTTACTGAAATAAACTTGTCATTGTCAATTGTCAAAGACGGAAAGCAACTGTTTTTGTTATATCTCAAATGTCATTGTCTAAAAAGTAATCCATGCATAAATTCGTCACTGCTCACCAGTTGATTTCTTTTTGGATTTTTGCATATTTATACTTAAAGTTCCCTTTGATCATGTTGATATTTATTGATAATTGATTGATATGTAGTTAGCGATTATTGACTCTCTATGATCTATATTGATAGCCAGCCTTACTTATATGTATGACTTGGTATCATCTTAACTTTTTTCTTTGAGTTTGAATGATCACTGTTGATTATCTTGATTTCCATTTTCAGTATAGATATTCAAAGAGTGCTCGGTAGAAGTGCCATGATTTTTCTTGGGTGACTGAAATAATTGAAATGTATACAAGATGTAGACCCAGAAGTAACATTATGTGTTCATGTCATCAAATGGCCTGGATATATTATGCTTACAAAATCTTCATGGATCTTCGTGGGAAAGGCCGGTAATCAAAAGTGGTGTGTGAACATATTGATACTTTACCACATATTGACTCCAACTGCTGTAGTCAAGTGGGCCCATCTCGTCTGAATGACTAAACATAAATTCTTACTGTAACTGTGGATTCTGTGGCCAATTCCATCATCATATTTGGTCTTCAGCCACATATATTAGTCAACGAATACTGGTACATCATTTAGCCAGGACGAAATGATAAACGCTTTACTGTAATCTCAGGGAACCAAACACTGTCGTGATGCCACCGACAAGCAGCAGACAGCAAGTCATGCATTTGCCCAGTAATTTACATTACCTTCACTTTGACACGTATCACTTCACGGTTTTCCAAATTGTAAAATCCAGCCATAGTGTCTTTGTGTGAAATCAGTTTATTCTACTCGATTGTTGATGATTACACATCACAAAATACAACGACATGTCATTTCAACAACTTCTCCCTCGATAGCAGTCGCCATTTTCCTCCATAGCCTCGATTTGGTGTCGATCAACGGAAGTGCAATGGCGTGGTCTATTGTAGCTAAAGGGTAATCATTTTACAAACAGATAGAAGAATAGATGACTTTGTGTTTGAATAATAAATCATGGACATTATTCAATAATATAGATATGACTGATTTACCAAACAGGTTAAGGGAAACAAGGATAATATTTGATGAAATACAATAGGAATGAATTGGATATCTACACCCCTTCAATACTATGGAAATCTCTCTCTCTCATTTAGCATAATGTACACGTAGACCTATATATCATACATTAACAAATCGATTTGGCCTCTATTTACACATGATTCGACACTTGTTTATTATGAACATTCTAAATAAACCTAACAATCTGTGCTCTGTCAAGATATTGAATATCAAAATCTAATTTAACCATGTTAACAAGGATACAAATAATAAGAACCAGGAATGAATGTAGGCCAAATTCTTTTCCTGTACAATGTTAAATCAGTATCGAACTGTACAACGCAAGCCATTTGTGAACACGATTCTGCCAAGAAATGCCCCGATATTGAGTTAATCTCGAAATGTCAATTGCATTATTCAACTATTAATATCCTCCTGACAATGTGTAAATGGATATGTAGGCTGATACATTATACCATGTAAATTGTCAAGTATATAGATCAGTTCAAAGTTGATCTAATATCGTACTTTACCTGTTGACTATTAACGTCTGCTCAGCACGATGATTATGACCCTATACGTTTCTAATATTTCCTCTGTAAGATTGTCTCAGTGTACACCTGTACCATGTATGAACAACTCGCTAAATGCTACTTGTAGGAAGGCCATACAATGTCACTGTATGAAACTTGTTTAACAACAGAACCATACGTAAGGCTGACCGAATAGATGCATGCAGCTATCCTAGCATCTTTATCAGACTTAATTGTCATTACACTTCAACCCGCACGTTAGCGTCCATTCAGCTGCATGTTTTATTTGTACCCTAATGAGGAACACGCACACATGCCTGCAGAAACAATTGCAATATCATCGTTATTGACATTCAAGTGTGTGTGTGTACGTGTGTGTGTGTGTGTGTGTGTGCGTGCGTGCGCGTGCGCGCTCAGATAAGCACAAATATCTGGACTTTTTATTTTTTAAGGTTTTTTTTCATATTTATTGCAAAACCAGGGGTAAAAAAACCACGCTGTCCCACCTGTTCCTGATATATATCTATAGAGACAAATGCGACGGATTCAAAAGCTACAGGTGAACCTTGACCGGAGTAGGTTAGGTTCAAGCGTCTCTTTGACGTCGATATCTGTTGTGGGCCTGTTGGGGTCAGGGTCAGGGTCCTCTGGGCGGTTATGTAATCCCCTTGACAGGCTGGGGAAAGGTTTACTCTCCCGATAAGTCTTACAGTAAATATGTTCCTCCAAGCACCGGGATATACAGTCTCCAGCTGATAGGCAGGTGATGCTGTATCATGTATACTTGTTGCATCACCTGCTAATCAGCATGGACGTATTCACCTGTCGCAGTGTTGATTGTAAATTGTTTGATAGGCATTACTTAGAAGTTGACGGATGACAAGGTAGACACAATTTCATGGATAACAACTTCTTTAATACTGTAAAAAGCGATGTATAATTGGCTTCATGTCCCATTGGCTTCCACCTATGTGTTCTCTGTCCATCGTGTTGACAGCATTATATCCTTCTGTTGTCAACACTTACTCATGTTATCCCACTCATGTATGCAATTGTTGTTATTGTTAATCCCCCACCTACTATATATATTCTGTACAATGTCCCTCGTTCAGTTTTGCTAGCCAACTGTATAAGGATCTATACCGAAACGTCGCTTTTTACAGTATTAAAGAAGTTATCAATAAAATTGGGTCTACCTTGTCAGTATTGATAATGTTGTTTGTATCTTTGAGCGATCATTCGGTGACAAAATACAGTACGCAACATTAGTCAAAATGTTACGAATAAAGTATTAAATGTTACTGATAAATGTCATAAGAATAATGAAACTCAAGTACAAAACAAATAATAACAACCATGACGTAAAAGACGCCATTTGAAACAAGAACATGCATGTGTATCAAAGAACGATAGTGTACACAAAAGGACACCAAACGCTAAAGAACAACATTCACGATAGAGAACGCCAGATGGCGCTGCAATTTGTACATTTCGAATTAGATCGGTTTAATTAGATATGTGGAGCACAACGCATTCATTTATTACGCCACTCCTCGTACACCACTGTGTGACGTCAGATGCAAATAATGACCTTTTCGAAGTATTTGACTATTACTGTGTACTGGTGACCTTTATTTCAATCAATATGGACTGAATAGACGCCCATATGTATCAACACATGTAAAACTTTATCACAACAACAATAGTGATAATATAGTTTTGTAACCCGTGTGCTCCTTTTTTAGGGCCTCCTTCGTGGTCTAGTTGATAGAACTTGTTGTTACCCTGCCTGGCGCTCGGCACTAGGGGAACCCAACAAAGACTGGAGTCAGTATACCGTGTCTCAGTGGGGTACCCATGTTAAACTGTGGTGTTTATCTCAGTGGGCTATAGCACTATAAAATCGGCATTAGTCCATACTTGTAGAAGCAGCCACACGCACACACACTCTAGAATGTCTCACAATCCCTATATTACTCTCCCTTCCGTCCAACCTTTTCTGTAATGTAAAAGCCCTAAATGAAGCAAGTCTAGATATTCCTCAATCTCCAATCTCACTGGGACACATTTTCAATACAAAAGGAGTTACTTGTTTCTATCAAAATTATAAAGTTTCAGAGACTAAGCGTTAGTCTAACACACACGAGCGCGCCGTTACATAAGTGCAATACTCTTGAACGCCACTACCACCACCTCGTTTCAGATATACTTCCTAGTACTAGCCTCATATACAGTATGTAATGGAAGTACATGTATACATACATTGAGGGGTGCAGGTGCTACACACCAGCCGTTTCTACATAAATCACTATATTGTGGGATGACAATAGGGTGTATTGTAACAGGTGAGTCACTAATCTTGGTGGCTTTCTGTGACCACACACGAGTCCCAAATATATGCGCTGGTCAAGCTCTCAGCATGCCTGCAATCCATCACACTGTGTCCAGCTGGTTCCATCCCCGGGTTGTCCATTCGCCGGCTGGACGAGGCGTTAACTGACTTCTTCGCGATCCGTGCATGGTTCAGACGTTATCTGGTCTCGCTCATAAACCTCCAGTGACGTAATGCTATTGTTCTCCAATCGTGTTAAATCTTATAGTTACACAGGGAACGTACGTCACCGTAGTACCGGAATGATTTCAGGGAGTCGAACTTGCAACCTTCGTATCTGCTGCCCACGGTGAGCGAACCAGTAGGCTGCAGAGGCGACGATAAACACAATACTTTCCAAGAATCTCCTTTTCAAGTACATGTACAGCAAGAGACATTTTACGTCCGTTTCACCATGTTCGCGTAAAGTACGTTTGAAATATCATCGTTGATAAATGTCGTTCCCTTTTATTTTTTTCGGTTTATAAGTAAATGAAACACTTCCCTCGCTTTTTATGAGATTTAACACCCTCTGACGTGTATTATCGTACACTTATAACATCCGACTCGAGTAGGTGGCGACACTCACAGCTGAAGATACGTCCTCCTTTCGAAGTAAACACAAATAATTTATATATATAACTAACTTGTGTTCTTCGTAGTTCCAAATCAGTGTATGACAAAGGTTTTTTTTGGTTTTTTTTCTAGCTGTCACGCTGTAGTCAACTCAAGGTGGCCACCACAGTGAAGTTTACATATCGACCCTGGCTTTCTCTTCAGATATTAACTGTTGGCAACACATGGAGAGGTGAATGTGCTCGCACGAGCTGATAACGCCGGCTGAAGGTTGAGCGTACATATGTAGGAGTCGACGGGGCGTCACGGACAAGGATGTGATCACGGCAGTGATAACTGCCTGTCTCTACAGTTGATGCACCCCTATCATGTGATGTGCCAGCTGTCACACAAGAAGGATAAACTGTAAACAGGTGACAACGTCGAGAAACAGTACACGTCTACACACAGACATGTATAGATTGTTTGGTTTACTAAAGCGGAAATCTACCTGTCTCTTCACCCCATCGGATTGTTTGAAACCTCCTGACTGCTTTACTACATAAAATCATACATATGTGATATAACGAATACTCTCACATAATATGCCTGAAATTTTGTCGAGGTGCCTTTAAATTTTATCTCATGACCTAGCTAACAAATTATCTATTAAACGTTTAATATCGCGAATTGTTTGTCCTTGAAAGATGTAAATGTCACTACAAGCTTAGTGAGTGACGAGCTGGTCAAAGGTCCCAGTTTCAGTCAGAATTTGCCGCAAATCAAACGACAAATATACATGTAATGATCCCATTCTCACTATACATTATTCACATGTCAGCCATGGAACAATTTGCATGTGCCTTTTTCATGATTTACTCGAACTGCACAATGAGTGGATGTCAAAGGTCATAGAGTCAGAAACTGATGCTGAAAAGGTTACCAAAACGCATATCCACCTTTCCGGACCTTTTTATTGATATTAATCGAAATATTATCGCATTAATTCTCCGATTGCACTTTAAATTAAAAAATAAATAGAACAGAATGAATCTATCTTAATGATTGGCCAACAGCAGGCAGGGTGGTACATCAACAATATACCCCAAACCATTTTCTTCATGGCATAGGGTTGAATAATCTACAAACAAGTTTGTTTGTTTGTGTGTTGTTTGATGCTGTACAGCAATATTCCAGCTATATGGCGAAGGTCTGTAAATAATCGAATCTGGACCAGACAAATCAGAGCTTGAGCATCGAACCAGGCAATTGGGATACGATAAAATCATCGAGCCTGACGATCCCATTAGTTGCCTCTAATGAGGCATGGGTTGCTAAAGATTAATTCTAACCTGGATCTGCATAAATGTCATACAAATTTTAAGTGAAAACGCTTGTGGACACATCTAAGAGATCACACACACAAAATGTCAGTTTCATGATAGATCTAGAGATTTAGAGATTTAGAAAATGCAGTAAAACTGAGGCTCACTTAGATCTGAAATCAGGGACATAGACACAATAGTGGACCACAATCAAACCTACACTTCCCAAAGTCAGTTCAGTCAATTAGCTATTATAACCACTAGGCCCCCATCCCATTTAGCTGACACTCCGTGATATAACTTGAATAGTGCTCAAACTGGCATCATACCCAACTCACTCGCTCAGTCTTTCCATCCAGAACAAACATGTTAGGATAAGGAGACATATCTAACAAGTAAAGGTATTGTTGTTAGTAAAATATAGTTTTGTTTTGTTTGTTGTTTGACGCCGCATTCAGCAATATTCCAGCTATATGACTGCGTTCTGTAAATAGTCGAGTCTGGACCAGACAATCAAGTGAAGGACATCATGAGCATCGATCCATACAATTGGGATACGATGGCATGCATCAACCAGTGAGCCTGACCACCCATTTTACGGCAAGAATGGGTTACTGAAGACCTATTCTACCCTGGATCTTAAAATGTAGTAAGACAACCTTTAGATATCAAATAAAATGTTATTTTATTTAAAATAACAACATAATGTTTGGTCATTCGTCTGATCAATGGCGTATCATGACAAATTCATTGAGAGAGACCCAGTGACACGCCCTAAAAGATGGGTGGGGTAACAACTTAATTAACAATGTCAATATCGGGTGTGACCACCATTTATGTTGATACAGGCGAGGAAGCAGCAGTGCATTGAAGACACCAGGTGGTTGAAAACAACCTGGGCGATGATGTTCCACATGTCAACCGAAGATTGGTCCAACTGAGCTCGCGTTACAGGCTGGTTCTGGTTTGGTTTCTTGTTTTACGCCGCACTCAGCAATATCCCAGCTATATGACAAGTAATAGTTCATTTCAGAAGGAATTGTATTCATCATGAAAATATATTATTGTGATACCTTAGGACTTCAGTTCTGAAATGTTGAACTTCCCTGACTGGGCTCATTAAGTCAGAATAGTTTTATACAACAGAATTTATGTCTTTTTCAAAATAATAACACTTGGTACAAAACATCTTCAAAAAATCTGATTTGTTTGTTTTGTTTAACAATAACTTTCTCATCAAATACAAAGTCCTCAACTTCCCTGTGTGAAGAATACACATGGCCCCTCTTGCTACCATAAGCTTTGTTTGGGAAATGACATCACCATTCTCATCTTATTTTCTTAGTAACCTCCCATAATAATTATTGTGTAATTTCATTATACAGCTAATTTTGACATTGTATCCTTCCTACTGGACTCCAAACAAAGGTATGTTATCAAGTATTCTATTAGTGTATAATCCCCACGGTCTGTACAACGGTTTCTTTACTGATTATCATCAAAATAGTCCTGAAGCTAAGTTTCAAATGACATAAAAGTTGATAAAATTATGAAAATGTCATTGTGTCATTTGTCTCTAGCAAAATCACTGGGACATTACATAGAATATTCTCCATGGGTGATTTTTAATATGGGAAATATCAACTGAGTCTTTTTTAATTTGTATTTGCCCTCCCTTATATTCAGAGTATCAACTACTTCCTTCTGGCTGCCAGAGCCCGGAATTCATTCATACCAGCTGGCACCAGGTTTTATATAAGTTTTGTGAGAAACAAGTGTTGAGCAGTTATTCGCTAATGCCACATTTATTGTTAATTTTATTTGTGATGTTATTATTTAATTTTAATATGTATTTATCAATAAGCTAAGAACTTCTGCTTATGTAACCCACATTTTCTTCAGGATAATAAAGTGTTATCTAATCTTAACTTCAGATGTGACAGCAAAATTCACAGTTTGACTCACTGTTTATAAGTTTGAGCTACTCATCTCTGCTCATTCCTGTGTAGCATGTCTGATGAGTCAGTCCATTGCTTGCAGGAGTCACTAAAGAGTATGCTGATTCTTCCCAACAGTTTTGGTACACTGTAAACACTTGGCATGCATGGTGAGTTGCAAGTAATGCAAGTCATCTGCTACCCCCATGTTTATACCCATCACAGACACAGAGTCAATCAGTGTGGTCGATCAACACAGTGTGTATTGCAAAATCTTAGATAATCAAAATAACATACACAAACGTTTTGACGTGTGGCCCTTTTGACCTGTTCCTGTTTGATGTCTGCACCTTGAGCCATACAACCACCGTAAACAAGGGATAAATATGCAAATGAAAATAGTTTTTCACGCCTTGGAATATTTTCTCAATGAGAATTTACTATTTCATAACATGCGTTTATCTTAATGCACATACTCTAAAAAAAGAAACAGAATAAAAGCATATTGTAACTTGATGAATGGACTGTGTACGATGTGATGAATCGTCACATTTCGCTGGCCTATAGCAGAGGTACTAGGCTTCTGTCAAGGATATATACTTTAGTTTAAAGATTAATTACCTTTCATAATATATTTAACATAACATACCGATTACTAGTGGTGGGACGATACACCATAAATGTTTCCTCTTATTAATATATACTTAAAATGCTTTTCAATAAATAAAAAAAATACCAACCCTGAAACAGTAGAGTTTTATAATTACGCTCTATTCTATGCCATGGAGTGAGCAAATCACATAGCCAATTGCTATATGTCCACTCTATGTAAGTCTTACATCACTTGAGCTGGGGGACGGATTCAGGTCCTGCAGCTTATCTTATCAACATGTCCATCAGATACAATATCATTCATTTCTTGGTCATAACCAGCCTAGCCAGCATGATATTGTGTTGAGCGTGGTCTGTCACACAATGTTGAGGATGTTGCAGGATGCCAGCAGGTGTAGTCTTCCCATTCTTGTTGTCTGAAAAGCTCCTTTAATCGGCTGCACAAAAAACTGGGATTTATTACACTTTTCTTTTTTCAGGAAAACAGCTCCACATGCCAAAGTCTTTGCTACCGTTAAACAAAGATCTGAGGACATCGCATTACCTTTCATCAAACCAATCAGAGCATCGCTTACCAGATCATGAAAGTGACAGTTGGAATGTGTTTTCTAATCATCCAACCTCTAAAACAATTAATACGGGGTACTCTGAACAACAGTTACAGACTTACTGACTGAATCCATACAAACCAGGCCATTCCAGAATGTTCCTGTGTTCAGTTTTCAAATTTTTAATCAAGAATTTGTCAAAATATGTTTCAAAGCGTAGTTGCCAGTTTGAAACTATTGCTGTAAAGCATGAGGAAGCTGCCTTATGCTTGGCTAATGTTGACTTCTTGTCAGTCATTCCGTTGGTCGGTCATGAAATGTCGGTCTGACGTGACCCAGAATGGCATGTCCGCAGATCTTTTGTTAGCGGTAACAAGAACTAAGATCTTATTGTAATGAGGTCCGTGAGTTATTCTGATGTAATAACCCTCACTGTTGACATCTGATAAACTCTCCACCTCACATATGGAAAACTTTCAAATCAACCAATCATGGTTGGATGCATCAAGGGAAGAAATTGTGGCTGCATGTCTCAACCTCAAAAACGAATGAAACAGGTAGTTCGGAGTGGAGAATTAGAATAGGTGTATGTGAAAGTCAAAGACCACAGAAGGGTCCAAAAGCAAAACATTCCAAACTTATATTTTTTGTTAGTCGACATACCATATATTTGCAATTATAAAGAAATGCAGGACTAGGTCCTGGAACAGTACATGTCACACACATGCAGGACTAGGTCCTGGAACAGTACATGTCACACACATGCAGGACTAGGTCCTGGAACAGTACATGTCACACACATGCAGGACTAGGTCCTGGAACAGTACATGTCACACACAAGTAGGACTAGGTCCTGGAACAGTACATGTCACACACATGTAGGACCAGGTCCTGGAACAGTACATGTCACACACATGCAGGACTAGGTCCTGGAACAGTACATGTCACACACAAGTAGGACCAGGTCCTGGAACAGTACATGTCACACACATGCAGGACTAGGTCCTGGAACAGTACATGTCACACACATGCAGGACTAGGTCCTGGAACAGTACATGTGACACACAAGTAGGACCAGGTCCTGGAACAGTACATGTGACACCCAAGTAGGACCAGGTCCTGGAACAGTACATGTCACACACATATAGGGCCAGGTCCTGGAACAGTACATGTCACACACAAGTAGGACCAGTTCCTCGAACAGTACATGTCACACACAAGTAGGACCAGGTCCTGGAACAGTACATGTCACACACAAGTAGGACCAGGTCCTGGAACAGTACATGTCACACACAAGTAGGACCAGGTCCTGGAACAGTACATGTCACACACAAGTAGGACCAGGTCCTGGAACAGTACATGTCCGACAAAGAAGGGTCCGAAAGCAAAACATTCCAAACTTATATTTTTTGTTAGTCCACATACCATATACAGTAGTTGCAATATATGTAGTTGCAATTATAAAGAAATGGCAGAGTATTGGTTAAAAATGACATTTGCAATCACGTTCTAAATTGGATGGTTATTCTGTGAGCACATTTCAGAGACACCATCTCTGGGATTGTTCATGCAAAATTTCAGGTTTTATAGTCAGATGTTGAAATTTTAAACATTTACCACTAAAACATGGACGACGAACAAAGCATAACAACCTTGGTTCATTTTCGGTCAGGTCAGCTGAGAGTTTCTTATGTGTCAACAGTTTCTTGGATATTTCATTTCACAAGTCCGTCACAAGCAGTTTAGTGGTGAACATTTGTTAACCTCTTATCATTTAGTACTACTAACTAGTGTATCACGATATGGACAAACATACACATTTACAATGTGGGATCTGGAGGATCAAGAATGAAAGAATCAATCAATCAATCAATCAAAGTCTTCCACAGAATGTAATGATTGATACTAGTGTATTCGGCAAATAATAAAAAAAAAGCCATCTATTGTCTGGAAAGAGATTTATAATGACTTAAGTATGTACATTGTTACAGTTAAGACCACGTTAGTGCTTGACAAACATTGCCTTAAACTTGCCATAAGCTGCTTCAGTGATGATGACGTCTACAAGGATGTAATTGATATCTGAGTCGGGATGAGCCTCCGTCACTGTTGCATTCTTGTACAGCCAGCTGCAACACAATCAGTCCTGTCAAACACAGACAGGTGTGGTGCCCACCTGCCATCTTACATCTCTGTCTGAAGGCTGGTCAGCAGAACTAGTCACTGATAACAAACCCATCTTAAGTGAAGTCCATCCACAAATACCAAACAAACTTTAAGCTACTGACAGTTCTCAGTTATCCAAAAATCTCAGCATCATAAATTTTACATCCTTTGTAGTTTCTATAAATCTGTTACAGTAGAACACGGATATAACGAACACGGATATAGCGAACAAACGGATACAACAAACTGTTAAAAAATCCTCGATTTATCTCCTATATAATATCATATAAAATTTACGTATATAACGAACTCTCTATAGCGAACTAACGGATACAGCCAACTGATACCTGATCAACGACAAGCCCATTTATCACTTATTAGCGACGTGTATAGCGAACTGAGAAATCTCACTCAGTGTTAAGTGTCACTGACAATTGGCTGTATGCAATCAGCGGCGAATCAAAACAATGGCGGCGAATCAATACAATCAGTGGTGACGGATCAACCTTGTTAACTTTGCATTGTGTTAATCTTACCTGTACATGTAATCTTGTCTGTAAAACAAACAGTTTTTGACAGTTTGGCGGATCTTAACGATGCCGTTTCAAGAATGCAGTCAGCGAAACGAGGCCAAAGTAAAATCACAGACTACAGATTTCGTATGTAAATCGAAAAATGATAAATATGTTTAAATTTTGTACATGTATTTGATAACAATCTTCAGAAAATGTTATGAATTTAATGTTATTAAATGAATGTTGTAAATTGATATCAGTTGAATGATCACTGCTAATACAAATCAATGCTGCAGTTACGTGTGTATTGTGTTTTGTCTTATCCAAGATGGCGGACGTTTCCGAGCGAAAACTTGTATAACGAACAACGGATATAACGAACTGATTTCTCTGGTCCCTAGTAGTTCGTTATATCCGTGTTCTACTGTAATTTGTTTGTTTGTTTGTTTGTTGTTCAACGTCGCACTCTGCAATACTATCTGTATTATGGTGGTCTGTAAATAATCGAGTCTGGACCAGACAATCCAGTGATTTAGATCATGAACATCGATCCACGCAAATGAGATACAATGACATGCATCGACCAAGTCAGCGAGCCTGACCACTCAATCCTGTTAGTCGCCTCTTATGACAAGCATAGTCGCCTTTTACGAGAAGTACGCTGAAGACCTATTCTAACCCGGATCTTCACCGGTAATTCTGTTAATAAAACACTGGATTGTGTATGACCACAACAAACTTAACGCCTTGTAGTTTGTGCCAAAAAATGCTAAAGGGCTTCATGGTTTCTAAGTGAAGATTCATGCTTGTTAGTTGAGGTGTTCTAAAACTGTAAGTAAGACACAATGAGGGATGTTACCTGAGATGCTGAGAGGCACTCATAGGCAATCTGAATGTCCTCTCCAGCCTCTTGGTGACAGTGAGCAGCTGGGCCTGTAGTCTACCTTGTAACACGTCAAGATTCTGTCCAGTTGAGGCCGACACTGACAGGTGGTGTCCCACTTGACTGCAACATGACCGAGACAGGGTCAACCTCACACAGGAACATACAAGAAGGTGCACCACTGCACTGTAGCTCACCTGGAGAGGTTGTCTTTAAACGATCTAAAATGTCAACAAAGACAGCTGCTTAACAAAAGCAGCTGTCAGCATAGCTGTTAAAATAGTTTTAGCATAAACATTGAGTACAAATGTATAAACAAGAGTCATCAGAAGATGACAAATCCCCCTGGCCCCGACAAATCCGAAAGAACAAATCATGTGATTGTTACAGCAAGTCCTACAAGAGTGATCTGCCCAACTTAAGACTATTCCCGTCTCCTAGTGCTCTCAGAACAGTCTCCCTCTGTGCGCAACAGTCTGGATGACTCATGTCACACACAAGTAGGACCAGGTCCTGGAACAGTACATGTGACACACAAGTAGGACCAGGTCCTGGAACAGTACATGTGACACCCAAGTAGGACCAGGTCCTGGAACAGTACATGTCACACACATATAGGGCCAGGTCCTGGAACAGTACATGTCACACACAAGTAGGACCAGTTCCTCGAACAGTACATGTCACACACAAGTAGGACCAGGTCCTGGAACGGTACATGTGACACCCAAGTAGGACTAGGTCCTGGAACTGTACATGTCACACATATGGAGGACCTGGTCCTGGTCCAGTACATGTCACACACAAGTAGGACCCGGTCCTGGAACAGTACATGTGACACCCAAGTAGGACTAGGTCCTGGAACAGTACATGTCACACATATGGAGGACCAGGTCCTAAAACAGTACAGGTCACACACAAGTAGGACCAGGTCCTAGAACAGTACATGTTACACACAAGTAGGACCAGGTCCTGGAACAGTACATGTGACACACATATAGGGCCAGGTCCTGGAACAGAACATGTGACACACATATAGGACCAGGTCCTAGAACAGTACATGTTACACACAAGCAGGACCAGGTCCTGGAACAGTACATGTGACACACATATAACGCCAGGTCCTGGAACAGTATATGTTACACACTTACAGGACCAGGTCCTGGAACAGTACATGTGACACCAAAGTAGGACTAAGTCATGGAACAGTACATGTGACACACAAGTAGGACTAGGTCCTGGAACAGTACATGTGACACACAAGTAGGACCGGGTCCTGGAACAGTAAATGTGACACCCAAGAAGGACTAGGTCCTGGAACAGTACATGTCCCACATATGGAGGACCAGGTCCTGGAACAGTAAATGTGACACACAAGTAGAACCAGGTCCTGGAACAGTACATGTCACACACAAGTAGGACCAGGTCCTGGAACAGTACATGTCCCACATATGGAGGACCAGGTCCTGGAACAGTAAATGTGACACACAAGTAGGACCAGGCCCTGGAACAGTACATGTCACACCCAAATAGGACCAGTTCCTGGAACAGTACATGTGACACACATATAGGGCCAGGTCCTGGAACAGTACATGTCACACACAAGTAGGACCAGGTCCTGGAACAGTACATGTCACACACAAGTAGGGCCAGGTCCTGGAACAGTACATGTCACACACAAGTAGGACTAGGTCCTGGAACAGTACATGTCACACACAAGTAGGACCAGGTCCTGGAACAGTACATGTCACACCAAAGTAGGACTAGGTCCTGGAACAGTACATGTCACACACAAGTAGGGCCAGGTCCTGGAACAGTACATGTCACACACAAGTAGGACCAGGTCCTGGAACAGTACATGTCACACATATGGAGGACTAGGTCCTTGAACAGTACATGTGACACCCAAGTAGGACCAGGTCCTGGAACAGTACATGTCACACATATGTAGGACCAGGTCCTGGTTCAGTATATGTCACACATATGTAGGACCAGGTCCTGGAACTGTACATGTCACACATATGTAGGACCAGGTCCTGGTTCAGTACATGTTACACATATGTCGGACCAGGTCCTGGTTCAGTACATGTCACACATATGTATAGGACCAGGTCCTGGTTCAGTACATGTCACACATATGTAGGACCAGGTCCTGGTTCAGTATATGTCACACATATGTCGGACCAGGACCTGGAACAGTACATGTTACACATATGTAGGACCAGGTCCTGGTTCAGTATATGTCACACATATGTCGGACCAGGTCCTGGTTCAGTACATGTCACACATATGTCGGACCAGGTCCTGGTTCAGTATATGTCACACATATGTAGGACCAGGTCCTGGAACTGTACATGTGACACACAAGTAGGACCATGTCCTGGAACAGTACATGTGACACACATATAGGGCCAGGTCCTGGAACAGTACATGTGACACACAAGTAGGACCAGGTCCTGGAACAGTACATGTCACACATATGGAGGACCAGGTCCTGGAACAGTACATGTGACACACAAGTAGGACCAGCTCCTGGAACAGTACATGTCACACACAAGTAGAACCAGGTCCTGGAACAGTACATGTCACACACAAATAGGGCCAGGTCCTGGAAAAGTACATGTGACACACAAGTAGGACCTGGTCCTGGAACAGTACATGTGACACACAAGTAGGACCAGGTCCTGGAACAGTACATGTCACACATATGTAGGACCAGGTCCTGGAACAGTACATGTTACACATATGTAGGACCAGTACATGTGACACATAAGTAGGACCAGGGTCCACTTGGACAAAGCGATCTTAGCGCTACAACTATTGTAAATCCTTAAGATTGCGATCTTATGCTTTGGCTACAATCGCCATCCACTTGCACAAAGCGATTGTAGGGTAAGATCATTGTAAGCTACAATCGAAACTTACAATTGGTCTGGACCAATCTTAAGTAGCTAAAATCGTTGTAGTCCCTGAATAAACTTGACAAAATGGCGTTCAAGGCTTGGTCTGTTTCACATAAATAATCTGCTTTACGTTCAAACATTGCCTCTTTATTTTGTTAAACTTTATAATTCAAATCGACACTTTAACAACATGAAGAACGCACCACAGATTTAACGTCAGAAATATTGTTAATTACCAAAGTTGAACACGCAACTATCGAGTCGATAGCTGAAAGGAATATTCCCATCCGACTCAATACTGAAATAAATGTGAAACAACATACCTTTTCACTAAACAAGGAAAGGATAAAAACCTAAGTCGTCCCGCAAGCGATTTGTAACGTTCGTGACCTTTTCGATAAATCAAGGGCAGCTAATCTTAGTTTATACTCTAGATGGGCGTGGTTTCCCTTTGTATAAGCCCGCAGAGTACAATCTACCTTACCCAGTGTATCAATGCTGTTGAATTGCTGAGCTCCACCTATATTTCTTTTGGGTCACATTCGTGTCAGTTATTTTCTCTTAAGTTTATCTTTAAATTAATCTACAAATAAATACAAGCCGAAAAGCAAATCATACATGTTTAAATCTAAAATCAAATTGGACGGGGACGAGCGGTTAAATATTAGAGTTTAAAAGAAAAAAAATACAAGTATTCATCAAACAAGCAAATATACATGACGAAACATTTGCATTTTTTGCAAAATATCCCATAAATAGCCAAAACAAAATTCACACTTTGAAATTTTTTTTTTTTAAAATTAATACCCAGTGAATATATAGAAACAATTGCTTTCTCGAAACATTATTTATTATTCTTATTTCCCGTCTATGCGTTATTGAAAGTTCCCGTCTTTCTGTGTTTTGAAATGGTAGTCATAACATCCTTTGTTGTAGCAACGAAACGAAACCATGAAGGATATATTTAGGATTTTACGAAAAAGCTCCCCCAAATAGATGACGATCATGCATTTACGCGTTATGGTTTAAGGAAATATTATAATTATTATTTATTTTAATTTTCATAATAATTGTGTTACTAAATAATGTAATTATTGGTTTTTCAATACTTTGAATAAAAACATGAGTAGGTATTTCTCTTGTTGAAATAGAAAACAATTCCTAAATCACGACAGTATTAATGCCGACAAGAATATATGCCTTCATTCTAGTAATCGTTTCCTTAAAAGAATTGGGACCTTTCTTGAAACTGTGCAAAGTGCGATGGAGGGCGGTACGTCTTGCGTGTCGTTACCTGTTCCACTTATTGTATGCGCAGCAAGCTTTGCGCGTTTGCAGACAACTGTAGACAGGAGTCGAGTTTAAGATATTCGTACCTCCTCGATTGAAGATTTCAATCTTAGCTAAGATCGCGATCTTAACTCCAAGCCGTCTTACAATCGCGCTAAGATCGGTTTGTGCAAGTGGAATAGGACAATTGTATGGTCATTGGAAAGTTGATTGTAGCCGCCTAAGATCGATTGTAACTAAGATTGTTCTGTGCAAGTGGGCCCAGGTCCTGGAACTGTACATGTCACACATATGTCGGACCAGGACCTGGAACTGTACATGTCACACATATGTCGGACCAGGTCCTGGAACAGTATATGTCACACATATGTCGGACCAGGACCTGGAACTGTACATGTCACACATATGTCGGACCAGGTCCTGGTTCAGTATATGTCACAAATATGTAGGACCAGGTCCTGGTTCAGTATATGTCACACATATGTAGGACCAGGTCCTGGTTCAGTATATGTCACACATATGTCGGACCAGGTCCTGGTTCAGTATATGTCACACATATGTCGGACCAGGTCCTGGAACAGTACATGTCACACATATGTCGGACCAGGACCTGGAACTGTACATGTCACACATATGTCGGCCAGGTCCTGGTTCAGTATATGTCACACATATGTAGGACCAGGTCCTGGTTCAGTATATGTCACACATATGTAGGACCAGGTCCTGGAACAGTACATGTCACACATATGTCGGACCAGGTCCTGGTTCAGTACATGTCACACATATGTCGGACCAGGACCTGGAACAGTACATGTCACACATATGTCGGACCAGGTCCTGGTTCAGTATATGTCACACATATGTAGGACCAGGTCCTGGAACTGTACATGTCACACATATGTAGGACCAGGTCCTGGTTCAGTACATGTTACA